CCCCGCTACTCACTATTCACTACTCACTACTTACTACTCCCTACTCACTAGTCACTACATAGTCTCTAGTCGCTAGTCACAACTCACTGATCACCAGTCACTAGTCACTAGTCACTACCCACTACCCACTACTCACCAATTGCTACTCACTACCCACTATTCGCTCACTGCTCACAACTCCCTACTCCCTACTTACGACTCACCACTCACTACTCGCTACTCCGTACTCGTTACTCATTAATCACTACCCACTACTCACTATTGACTCCTCTCTACTCACTACTCACTACTCACTACGCCCTACTCGCTCCTCACTACTCACTACTCGCTACTCCCTACTCGCTACTCACTACTCACTGCCCACTGCCACTACCCACTACTCTCTTCTCATCACTACTCACTACTCACTACGCACTACGTACTACTCGCTACTCACTACTCACTACTCACTACCCACTACTCACTACCCACTACTCACTACTCACTACTCACTACTCACTACGCACTACGCACTACCCACGACTCACTACTCACTAATCACTACTCGCCACCCACTACTCACTACCCACTACTCACTACCCACTACTCACTACTCCCTACTCCCTACTCAGTACTCACTACTTGCTACTCGCTACTCTCTATTCACTACTCACGACTCGCCACTCACTACTCACTTATCAGTACACACTACTCACTATTCACTACTCACTACTCCCCACTCCCTACTTCCTACTCCCTACTCGCCACTCACTACCCACTCACTACTGACTACGCACTAACTCGCTACTCACTACTCACCACTCCCTACTCCCAACTCCGTACTCCCCACACGAGGGGAGGGTGGTCCGACCCCCCCCCTTTCCAGCGCCAAAGGGGAGAGGGGGGGGGGGCGCCCCACCCCCCTCCAAGGGAGGGGGGGGGGGGGGGGTTCGGGACCCCCCCCCCCCCTTCAGGGAGGGAGGGAGGGGGGGGTCCGGACCCCCCCCCCCCCCCCTTTGAAGGGGGGACGGGGGGGGGAGGGTTCTGGACCCCCCCCCCCTTCAGTGTATTCAGGGAGATCCACTGGCGCACTTTCTCTTTTGGGGGGTATACCTTTCTTCCCTGCAGGCCGGGCCCCGGCAACCGGCGGGGCGGCCGCGGACCGTCGGCCTGGCCAGCGGCAGCGCTGATCGGCGGGGCGGCTACGGACCGGCAACCCGACCCCAAGAGGGACGGACAGGGGACCGACCACGACGACGACGACGACGACGACGACGACGACGACGACGACGTCGAAGACGACGGCAACGACGACGACGACGACGACGACGACGACGAGCGAAAGCGAGAGCGAGAGAGAACGACAGTGAGAGCGAGAGAGAACGACAGCAGGGCCACGAAGGGCACGAAGTAGGCCACGAAGGGCGACAGCTGGGACACGAAGGGAATGCGTACGGGGCCACGAAGAGCGCGAACGAGCGGGGGCCACGAAGTGCAGATAATACGGGGCCACAGAAGGCAACTATGGGGCCACTGAGGGTAGCAACTGGGCCACGTAGGACAGTGAGGGGGACACAAATGGCGACAGCGGGGCCACGAAGGGCATGCACATGGGGCCACAACGGGCGCGACTCCTGGGTGCCTGGGTGTCGGGAGCGCGGCGCTTGGGCAAATTACAAGAAATCCCAAGGCAAGGCCATTCTTCAGTAAGTTGCAAGCAAGTCTCCAGCGAAAGCGCGACTCCAGAGCGCCGGGAGAGCGATTCCTGAATACAATGCGAGGAAGTCTCGGGCGGGAGGGGGGGTCCTGGCTAAATTGTGAGGAAGTCTGAGGCGGGAGCCGTTGTTGTTGTAACCCGGGGGCCAGGGGCCCAGTTTGAGCAGGAAGATTTTCCCTGTCAAAAAACAGGGTGCGAGCGTCGAGGGGCACACTTTGATTGAGAACAAACAATATGCACCGGTGGGGGGGATCAACAATAATAATTCTTCAGAAATGAAAATTCAACAAACACTGCAACAAGAACAACAACCACCACAACAACAACAGCAATAACAACAACAACCACCACCACCACCACCACAACAACAACAACAACAACAACAACAATTACTAGCACGTGGGGACACTCCGTTCTCACCAATGCCAGGGTTTTCATAGGAGGCGGGCAATGCCCCCACTTTGTGGGGGGCCGGTTCAAGCTCTACCAAATTTCCAAACGACTCTTCGCCACCACCCACACCCAGCTTCCCGCCCTATGACGTTCGGACACTTCACTTCGTGGCATGCGGACGACCGTGGCTACTATTCAGGGCCCCGCGGCCGACGACGACGGCGTGCGCGCGCGAAGAAAAAACGAATGTGTCCCGCATGGTATTATTTGACAGGGATGATGGCCCTGGCAGGTGCGCAACCGTTGTCGCAGAAGTTCGAAAAAGTTGCTCGCAAAAGCCCGTTTGACAGAAATGTTTAAAAAGTGTTGGGTTTCCTACGAATCCGCAAGAGCGCGCGGGATGAGATTTTGACAATTTTTTGTTGAAAAACCATTGGTTTTTTGATGTTTTTATGTTAAAATCGCTGCGAACACTAAGGTTTTGGAAGGATTTCGTCTTGCGCGCGCGAATGTCCACTTTACCTTATTTTTTGCAAGGGATTCTTGAAATTTGATTATATTAGAACAAGAAATGTCATTTTCTATTGTTTTTTGCAAGGGAAAGCGGATTACAACAAAACAACCGGATCCTGTACACACCCTCTTTTCTGAGGCTTCCTCACGAAAATGATGAAAATGTAGCTGCGGCCTAGGCGGCGCAGGGGGGGCGCGCACCAGGGGGCCCAACAATAATTATTCTTTAGAATAAATAATGTTCAACAACACCACACACACAACAACAACAACAACAACACAACAACAACAACAACAACAAAACAACACAACAACAACAACAACAACAACAACAACAACAACATCAACACAACACACAACACCAACAACAACAACAACAACAACAACAGCAGCAGCAGCAAACAGCAACAACAACAACAACAACAACAACAACAACAACAACAACAACAACAATCACTTTACCCGAACGCTCAGTGTTCTCACCAGTGCCAGGGTTTTCATGCGACGCCAGCCAATACCCCCACTTTGTGGGGGGGCAGTGCAAGCTCTACCAAATATCCACACGACTCTTCGCCACCACCCACACCCAGCTTCCCGCCCTATGACGTTCGGACACTTCACTTCGTGGCCTGCGGACGACCGTGGCTACTACACTGGCGTGGAGTACACACCCACAGAAGTTGTTAAGCCTACGTTCGTACACCCACAGAAGTTGTTAAGCCTTGTTAACCCACAGAAGTTGTTAAGCCTTCCACAGAACATCTGTTGCATATGATGCATATGGTTACTTGATACACATGATACGTATGCGAAGAAAAAACGAATGTGTCCCGCATGGTATTATTTGACAGGGATGATGGCCCTGGCAGGTGCGCAACCGTTGTCGCAGAAGTTCGAAAAAGTTGCTCGCAAAAGCCCGTTTGACAGAAATGTTTAAAAAGTGTTGGGTTTCCTACGAATCCGCAAGAGCGCGCGGGATGAGATTTTGACAATTTTTTGTTGAAAAACCATTGGTTTTTTGATGTTTTTATGTTAAAATCGCTGCGAACACTAAGGTTTTGGAAGGATTTCGTCTTGCGCGCGCGAATGTCCACTTTACCTTATTTTTTGCAAGGGATTCTTGAAATTTGATTATATTAGAACAAGAAATGTCATTTTCTATTGTTTTTTGCAAGGGAAAGCGGATTACAACAAAACAACCGGATCCTGTACACACCCTCTTTTCTGAGGCTTCCTCACGAAAATGATGAAAATGTAGCTGCGGCCTAGGCGGCGCAGGGGGGGCGCGCACCAGGGGGCCCAACAATAATTATTCTTTAGAATAAATAATGTTCAACAAGAACAACAACAACAACAACAACAACAATTACTAGCACGTGGGGACACTCCGTTCTCACCAGTGCCAGGGTTTTCATAGGAGGCGGGCAATACCCCCACTTTGTGGGGGGGCCGGTTCAAGCTCTACCACATTTCCAAACGACTCTTCGCCACCACCCACACCCAGCTTCCCGCCCTATGACGTTCGGACACCTCACTTCGTGGCCTGCGGACGACCTTGGCTACTACACTGGCGCATGGGTACAATGACTTGTTGTGGTAACATTTTCTGTAAGCTAGCTTAGTATACGACTTTTCCCCCTGCAATTGAAGATTTCGGCGTGCGCGCGCGAAGAAAAAACGAATGTGTCCCATATGGTATTATTTGACAGGGATGATGGCCCTGGCAGGCGCGCAACCGTTGTTGCAGAAGTTCGAAGCACGTGAAAAGTTGCTCGCAAGAGCCCGTTTGACAGAAATGTTGAAAAAGTATTGGGTTTCCTAAGAAATCCGCAAGAGCGCGCGGGATGAAATTTTGACATTTTTTTTTGAAAAACCATTGGTTTTTTCATGTTTTTATGTTAAAATCGCTACGAAAACTAAGGTTTTGGAAGGATTTCGTCTTGCGCGCGCGAATGTCCACTTTACCTTATTTTTTGCAAGGGATTCTTGAAGTTTGGTTATGTTAGAACAAGAAATGTCCACTTTAGCTTATTTTTTGCAAGGGAAAACGGGGGACAACAAAACAACCGGATCCGGACACCCACGTTTTGCCTGAGACTTCCTCACGAAAATGATGAAAATGTGGCTGCGGCCTAGGCGCGGCGAGGGGGCCGCGCACCAGGGGTCCCAACAATAATTATTCTCTAGAAGTAATAATATTCAACAACAATCCGCTCCGCAAGACCTCGCTTCAGCCACGCGCCTGGGGACAGCGAACGACCGTTCGGCCCCCTCACTCTGACACCACATCTCTGGGCCTCTGCCCCCGACGATCGGCACCCGCACGCACCCGGAGCGCCGCGGCGCCCCGCGCCGCCGCCACAGAAGAGAACCAGCGGCCACCGCCCGAGGCCGCGGCACGACCACGGCCCTGCTCTGCGAGAGCACGGGGCAGCTCCTCGCGGAGCGGGAGGCTTGCGCGCGAGCGCGCGCGCGCGCCACCCTCCGCGCTCGCGCACGGCGCGGCGCGAGCCCAACGCCACCCCCATGCGGTGGGACGACGCCAGGACGAGGAGGATGACCTCGGGTGAGGATCAGATCGAGAGTGGAACCGGGTGGGGGTGAATCGAGAATCTCTGAGATCGGGCGGCTCTGGAGGAGGTCTCGGGCGCCGCGGCCTTCCCTTCTCAGAGCCTCCCGGAGCGCTCTCAGAGCGTTCCGGGGCGCTCTGGAGCGGACTTCTCCTCGTCCTGGCCGCTGCCCGATGCGGACCTCTCGAGCCCCTCCACGGGGCCCGCTTCCCAGGGGAGGGGTGCTGCTGAGTTGGGAAGACGCGGGACTCGAGTTCGTTGGCCTTGGGCTGGTTGGCCTGCCGGGGCCGTCAGGAAAACGACGAGACCCAGTCTTAAGTTGACGCGAACGCTCGCTGCAAACGTCCCACGAAGACTGGACCGTTAAATTCAAGACGGCCCCGTCAAAAGCGTCGGGAACCCCGAGTTCCAGCGGACTCGAATCTTACGCTTCCCTGACTGAAGATCAACGATGGAGGGGAGCGGGCTCAGGGGGGGGGACATGATCCTTGAATCGGCGATGCACCGCCGATAGATCGGCAAGAGGTCCCCGACAGCGCAACCGTGCCTTCCTGGGCGGGGTGGGCTGCAGGGACCCATATTGGCAATACATGGGCCATTGGGGGTCGGTGCAGCCCCCCTGAGCCTATATCCCCCCCTGACGCTGCCCCAGAGACACGTCTTCGGCATACACGCAAGAGTGACTCTAGGCTCCAGGCAGGAGTGCCCTCCAATGCAAGGCCTCCTGAGGGCCGCATGGAGGCCAGATCCAGGCGCGCCAGCCGGAGCTGGGGGGAGCCGGAGCGAGAGAGCGGCAGGCCGAACCGATAACGGTTCGCGTCAGGATCCTGGCAATCAGCAGGTCGGGGTAGCAAGGCCAATAATCACACTATCATCACCATCACCACCACCACCACCACCACCATCATCATCAGCATCATCATCATCATCATCATCATCATCATCATCATCATCATCATCATCATCATCAGCAACATCATCAGCAACATCATCAGCATCATCAGCATGATAATGATGATGATGATGATGATGATGATCATCATAATCATCATCATCATCATCGTATCAGCAGCATCATCAGAATCAGAGTCAGCATCAGCATCAGCATCAGCATCAGCCTCATCAGCATCATCAGCATCATCATGATGATGGTGATGATGCAGATGATGATGATGATGATGATGATGATGATGATGATGATGATGATGATGATGATGATGATGATGATGATGATGATGATGATGATGATGATGATGGTGTATCATGGTAATCCAGGGGGTCCCCCTTTGATGATGATGGGGTCCTCCTTTGATGATGATGCTGATGATGATCATCATCATCATCATCATCATCAGCATCATCAGCATCAAAAGGGGACCCCTTTCTGGGACGCAATAACCCGAGTCAGCACAAACCCAGGCCAGCCATGGACCTGTCGCGAGGCCCGGCCTGTCGCTCAGTCGCTCCCAAGCCTCGGTCAGCGGAGGGCGGAAGGGGGCAAAAGCCCCGCGTGGTTCTCAAACCCGGACCAGCCAAAGAGGATCCGTTACGTGAGCCCCGACCAGTGAGCTCGCATTGAAGGTCACTCCGGCAAAGGGCTACTGTTACGTACAGCTGGCCCCTCCCTGCGGCTTCAAAAACAGATTCGGGGGGACGTAAAGATGGGGCAGGGACAAAGGTGGGGGTACAGAAAAATCGCTCTCAATGGCTCCTGGAATAAGACATCTGAGCATCCAGCGGGGTTCGTTCCCTAACCCCACCTTGGGATAACCCACCCCTTGCGGTCGCTTGGCCGTCCATTCCCCGTGCACTGTTCGGTTTCGTGGGTGCTATGTTTTGCTCGGTGAGCCAGGATGCTCCTCGATGGTCCACGCCGAGAACATGCGCACGTCCGAGCGATGCCAAGACCCTCTACGAGCCCACGACAGAAAGCTCGCCGCTGGGGCTGTCAGCGGGTGCGCGGAGGCCCGACAGGCAGAAGCGCCCGCGAGGCGGCCTCCTGTGGACGCGCAGCTTCCCGTGCGAAGGGAACGCGGGCTTGCGTTCGCATGTGGCTCTCCAATGAGACTCCCCGAGCGATCGCGCCTTCCGGATGGGGCTCGCTTCTAAACATGCTACGGGGGGGGGCCAGCGCGCGGACCAGAAGGCAGGGGTCTAAGCAGCTGCTCGAGCTCCGAGTCCTGTCCTGGGTCTCCTTTTTTTTGTTTTTCCTCTCTCTCTCTCTCTCTCCCCCCCATTTATACTGATACTCAAATATGCAGATACAAACTATATAGACGTTGCGTTACTGCTCCTCTCTCTTTCTCTCTGCTCTCTTTATTTTTTTTTATCTCTCTCTCTCTCTGACTCTCTTTCATCTCGCTCACTCTCTGTCTTCCTCTTTCTCCCTCTCTCTCTCTATGTGTCTCTCCCCTCCCCCTCTCTTAGCCAGTCAGTCACTCAGCCTTTCTCTTTCTCTCTCTCTCTCTCTCTCTTTCCCCTCAATGTTTTCTCGTCCCTGCCCTTGTTCCCATATCTACCACTCCCTCTCTCCCTCTCGCGCTATATCCCTCCCGATCTTTCCGAGTGCGCGCGCAGCACCGGCCCGAGCGCGCCTCGCATGCAACCTCCAGCGCAGCCACCACACTCCGTCCATGGCGTCGTGATCCACCACCGTGCCTTGTGCACGTTGAGGCGTGGAAGAATGCCAAGGTCTGCCTGGTAGGGCTGTTCGAACTCTAACAAAGGAGCCCCCCCCTCTTACCCGCGGACTGTCGCGCGCATCCCCCCTACTCACCGAGCCCACATTCCTCGTGCCTGCTCGAAGGAGGTGCACTTTCCGCGCGACAGCAAATGCCAGAACCCCCCTCCACGAGTACCCGCTCGAGGATGGCGCACTCCTCGCATGGCAGAGAATACCTGAACCCCCGTTCCACGCGTGCCCGCTCGAGAGTGGTGCACTTCCCGCATGGCAGCTAATACCTGAACCCCGTTTTCCACGCGTGCCCGCTCGAGGAATGCGCACTTCCCGCCTGGCTGCTACCTCCTAGAGCCCTCATCCCACGCGCACCCGCTCGAGGAGTGTGCACTTCCTGCATTCCCAGGCGCTGCTCCAAAGCGCTCCAGGGCTTCCCAAGCCACGATCCCTCGCTTAAAACGATGGACATGCGTCCTAAGCTTCCAAGACGGCCTGTGCAGGCAACCAAGGACACCAAGATGGCCCAAGATTCCTCCAAGACGGCCAAGATGGCCCGAAAGCGGCCGAATATTGCTTCAAGACGGCCCGAGAGGCCTGCAAGAGGGCCCATAAGGGCCACAAGAGGACCTCCACCAGGGTCCGAAAAAGCTAACATCATTGATTCCCCATGGGCGTTTGAATGATGTTCGCATTCTCGCTCTTTCGGGCTGCCGTCAGCACAAGACGGGCCCAAAGAGGACTTCACGATGGCCCAAGAGGCATCCAAGACGGCCCCAGGACAACCCAAGAAAGCCATTCGACGGCCCAAGGCTGCGCCAAGACGACCCCGCGACGGCCCCCAGGCATCCACCATACGGCCAAGAGGACCCCAAGACGGCCCAAGAGAACCTCAAGCCGGCGCAAGAGGGCCCCCAGACGGCCGGAAGCCAAGGCAGCCCCTAATACGGCCGAACCAAGTTTCATCATCATCATCATCATCATCACCACCACCACCACCATCATCAAAATCACCATCACCATCATCATCAACATCATCATCATCGTCAGCATCAGCATCATCAGCAGCAGCATCATCATCAATAGCAGCATCAGCATCATCATCAGCATCACCATCATCATCATCATCATCAGCATCATCATCATCGTCAGCGTCAGCATCATCATCAGCAGCATCATCACCATCACCACCGCAAGCACTACCACCATTACCATCGTCATCCTCATCCTCATCCTCATCATCATCATCATCATCATCAGTATCAGCATCACCATGATAATCATCATCACCACCATCCTCTTCATGACCACTCTCATCACCATTATCATCATCTAGCAAGATCATCCTCATCACCATCATCAAGTTTGACATCACCAGCATAATCGGCAGCGTCAGCATAAGCATCACCCTAATCACAACCATCCTCATCAGCAGCAGCATCAGCATCATCATCAGTGTTATCATCATCGGACCAGCGACACGATCACGAACATCATCATCAGCATCATCAGCAGCATCAGCATCAGCAGCAGCATCAGCACCAGCATCGACATTATCAGAATCATCATCAGCAGCAGCACCGATCAGCATCGCCGTCATCATCCCCATGAACATCATAATCCTCATCACGACTCTCAAGAGCCTGGGAGACACGAGGTGTCCCACGTGACGGCCTCCCGCGTCCCCCTCGGACAGCCGCCACCCAGAATGCTGGGATGGCACGGTGGGACTTGCGGCAGGCAGCTGAGCTCTTTCACGACGTGGACCCCCCGAGCTCTGGGCGTCATCGTCGCCGCCAGCGCCGTCCTTACCGTCGTCGATCTCGTCTCCGTCGTCGTCCTCGTCGCTGCCGTCCTTCGCCCTCGACTCCGTCCTCGTCGTCGCCTTCGCCACCGCACGTCGCCGTCGCTCCGGAGCCCCTTCCCCGGGACCGGCTCTGTCGCCCGAGCCTGGCTGCGACGCCGCCGGGGGCCCGACCAACTGCCCCCCAGGAGGCCGCGAACGGCAAGGTCCCTCTGCCGTGACTGAAAGGGGCCCAGGGACACACACACACACACACACACACACATAAACACATAAACACACACACACACAAATCCCAAGATTCCCCATATTTTCCCATACTTTGGAAGGTTGTCGTCTGCCCCCCCTCCACTTCCCGTAGAACAGCTGGGCGCGAGCGGCGCATGGTCCAACACCAGTGGCCCGAAGGCATGGGGCCTGAGGATAGGAGGGGACCCCAGGCCGGATCTACATTGCTTGAGCCCCTTCGGCCTCAGAATGAACAAACAACACCTTCTCGGAGACCCAAATCTCTGTCGGGATCCACCAAAAAGGGGGTGACCCTGAGGGGGAGCGTGAGTTCGATCCGATGGTGCACCGAAATGCCGCAAACAGATGCCCCTCGCATGCCCCACCAATCGGCAACGATCGGGATCTGCCAGCGGCCGGGGGGCATCGATCTTGGGCGGTTCGGTACAAAAACCGATGGAGCTCACACACACACACACACCCCGGGGCACACACACACACCCTTTGCCGGATCCCGACTCTGTACCGCCGAGAACACGGAGTGACCACCCACGGCCAGCGTACATGTATTAAACATGCAAGGATCTAGCAGTAAGAACAACGATGAGTTCATGCATACACTCATTCATACATGAATCATGCATTTTACAAATCCTATATCTTTGAACATCCTATGTGTATTAAAAACTGCCCTGTACGGAAGCGGGCCGCACGGCTTTGGCGCCTCTCTCTCCCCCCCCCCGCTGCCCCGCCCCCCCCACCCTGCAGAAGATCCCCCCCAGAGGGGGCGGGGGCGCAGCTCCTCGAGAGCGACCGGTCCGGCAGGTGGTTCGTGGCTGGGCGCGCCGCGCCGCTGGCTTGCAGGGAGAGCCCGCCGCCGTGGCCGCCCCGATCCCCCCCCCCCCCCTCTCACGAGCGAGCGACGCACATCCGTGCGAACGTCTTCTCATTCAGCGCTTCGACATTGCATCGGGCGGGAGGAGGGGGGGTCTGGCTCTGAACTTGCAGGGAGAGCCCGCCGCCGTGGCCGCCCCGATCCCCCCCCCCCTCTCACGAGCGGCGCACACATCCGTGCGAACGTCTTCTCATTCAGCGCTTCGACATTGCATCGGGCGGGAGGAGGGGGGGTCTGGCTCTGAACTTGCAGGGAGAGCCCGCCGCCGTGGCCGCCCCGATCCCCCCCCCTCTCACGAGCGGCGCACACATCCGTGCGAACGTCTTCTCATTCAGCGCTTCGACATTGCATCGGGCGGGAGGAGGGGGGTCTGGCTCTGAACTTGCAGGGAGAGCCCGGGAGGAGGGGGGGTCTGGCTCTGAACTTGCAGGGAGAGCCCGCCGCCGTGGCCGCCCGATCCCCCCCCCCCTCATCAACAGAGCGGCGCACCGATCCGTGCCCGGTCCTCTCATGCGAGTTTCAGCGCCAGACATTGCATCGGGCGGAGGAGGGGGGGTCTGGCTCTGAACTTGCAGGAGAGCCCCGCCGCCGTGGCCGCCCCGATCCCCCCCCCCTCTCACGAGCGGCGCACACATCCGTGCGAACGTCTTCTCATTCAGCGCTTCGACATTGCATCGGGCGGGAGGAGGGGGGGTCTGGCTCTGAACTTGCAGGGAGAGCCCGCCGCCGTGGCCGCCCCGATCCCCCCCCCTCTCACGAGCGGCGCACACATCCGTGCGAACGTCTTCTCATTCAGCGCTTCGACATTGCATCGGGCGGGAGGAGGGGGGTCTGGCTCTGAACTTGCAGGGAGAGCCCGCCGCCGTGGCCGCCCCGATCCCCCCCCCCCTCTCACGAGCGGCGCACACATCCGTGTGAACGTCTTCTCATTCAGCGCTTCGACGTTGCATCGGGCGGGAGGAGGGGGGGGTCTGGCTCTGAACTTGCAGGGAGAGCCCGCTGCCGTGGCCGCCCCGATCCCCCCCCCCTCTCTCACGAGCGGCGCACACATCCGTGTGAACGTTTTCTCATTCAGCGCTTCGACATTGCATCGGGCGGGAGGGGGGGGTCTGGCTCTGAACTTGCAGGGAGAGCCCGCCGCCGTTGTCGCCGGGAGCCCCCCCCCATCACGAGCCGCGAACATATCCATGTGAACGTTTTCTCATTCGGCATTTCGACATTTGGCGGACGTGGGGGGGAGGGCGGGGGCTCCAGACCTCTGCTGATTGCGACTGTTTGCAGCAGTGCGTCCTAGGGGGGCGACTCCATCTGCTCGAAACAGGCGCTAAGAACAACCAAGATCTACTCCATGGGGAGGGGGGGGGTGCGAGGGCCCACGCCGATCGACAAAACAATGCATAAGAAAATGATTATCATGAATGGGGCCACGAAGCGTGTGAGGGGAGTTCCGAAACGAGGCTGACGATGCTGCTGATGAGCAGAGGAGGGCGGGGGAGGAGGCAAAAAGGGAAGGGAGGGACGCGGGGACCGCCGCTCCAGAACGAGGACCGAAGACCACAGGTTGGCTGGGAAACGAAGCCCACGAGCGGCGACACACGTCCACACCCACGCCCTCGCGGCCTGGCTTCCGGGGCGCGGGGCCCCGCGGCTGCGCGACCGCACGGCTGCGCTCCGCGCGGAGCGGCCGCGAGGAAAAAAACGCCCCGCGTCCGTGGGGGGCCGCGGCC